GGGAAGTCCGATGTGTACCTCAGGGGGATTACCATCCAGAGTGGTAAACCAGATCATTCCATTTACTTTCCTTCCTTCCCTGGCTAGCTATGGTCAGTAAGGGAACTTGTAACACTGGAAACAGCAGCAACAACAAGCAGTAGCTTGAATTTAATCCTGTCATTATCTATAATGTCATGATGTTGACTGTCCATTTCAGGGACTTCTCTCAGTGTTGTTTCAGGCAGCCCTACTCTTGAGTCATCCTTCCCAAAGAAACAGACCTCAGCTATTCCCACTGCTGTCAGGAGACTGGGTCCTACTCCAAACTCAGCTTGTTGTCAAATTCTGTGCAAGTCATTTCACCTCCTGTTTCTCAACTTCTCCATCTGCAAGGCTGGAGTAGTGATTCTGGACTCCCTTGTAAAGTCTGGTATTTAAAGGCCTTACATGGAAATTAGGCATCTCTATTACTATCAGAAGCAACGTGCAGGTGCCAGATGTTTATTCAGGTCTGCCAGCATGTTTGAAAATGTAACTGCACAGCAATTCTTTAAGGACACTGAGCTGAAGCATTATCTTTATTACAATGCTTTGACAGTTTCTGGCAGCATCCATCAAGTGTCAGGTGCTGTAGATTCAGGTGGTGTAACATGTCACTCAGCAGGAGTAAGAAACAAAAGCTGCTTTACTGTTGGAGATCTACTCCAGAGCATCAGGATCGTGGAACAGAACCATGTTTGAAATGTACAGGTTACTCGTGTCCTGTTATACCTGCAAATCCATGTGCCAATACAAGGCAGAGTTTGGATGTGTCATTCCATCTGGTCACACTCTACATAAATTTATGTCCAGGCGAAAAGACCCAACAAAAAAGTGAAGTTCTTTCTAGGTGAAATGGGTGATCTGACATGTTGAGAAGTTATGTTTTTAATGAAATATCTGGAGCTCTGAACTCTTCCAATAAGTCATGTTAGAGAACAAACTAAAAAGCTTCATGCAGTTTCCCAAGGAAAGTGAATCACTTTTACATGCTCTGCTGAACTCTGCACTTCTGGATGAAGTCTGTATCAGGTCTGCCACTGCATGGAGAAGTCGATGCATTATCATAGAATATCAAGTTGAAAGAGACCTCAAGGATCATCTGGTCCCACCTTTCTTGGTAAAGCATGACCTAGACTAGATGTCCCAGCACCCTGTCCAGCTGAATTTTAAGTGTCCAGCGTTGGATGAAGTGGAGTTTTGTTTTGCCATGCAGAGTTTCCAACAAGCTCTTCAGTAAAAAGCATGATGCAGGAAGAGTTATTTCCAGTACAATTGTCACCTGCCTTGTTTTTGGATGTGCAGAAACCTCGGCCTGTGGGAAAAAGAATGACCAGAGCTTTAAGTCTTACTAGGGAGAACGTGCCTCTATCTCCATCCTATAAAAGCAGCAATGATAATATCACCAGAGCTAGTCACCCCATCAGAAATGCTTACCTGCATCAGAATTTGTGACTCAGAAACACTTGCCAGACTACCTCAGGATATGAGAAGGTTGAGATACTCAAAGGGACCCCCTGTTTTGTTCCAAGATTAGCTTCACCTGTGGACTTTCTCTGGCTGAGTTCATCCAAATACATCAGGGTGTGGGGACATGATGTACAAAGGACACAGTCCTATACTCGAAGCAAAAATCTGAAGGTAAAACAGACTTACTTGCCACAGAAGTCCTTGTGAATGGCACGGAGGACAAGCAGTAAATTGGGGTGTGCCTGTAGCCAGCTCTTCACCATATTTGGGTGTCTGGGATCAACTTCCAGAAATACACTCCTGAAAGGACAAATTTGGGAATAGAAAGTGGTGAGATGCACACATTTAGGTTGCTAAACTGATAAAAATTAAGGTCTGTCTTTCTGGATGACTCCTACCAGTGCAAGAAAGGAGAGGGTCAGCAAACACACTGCAATCCACTAATCCTAAATTAGCTCACAGCTGTCCATGCAAGGTGCAGATCCCAACTGCCTCCTTCAGGGGGAGAAAGTGTTGATTTGGAGGGAATTCTGATGCTGCTCCTGTATGTGAGCAGTTAAACCCTTGTATGAAGATGTAAGGATCCCTTCTGAACCCCATGCAGAGATACCATCAGCTCTGCCTTTCTGAAGCCCCCAAAGATTTAAGGCCAGAATGAAATTTTAGGATACAAACACATCAACATTGAGCACTAGACTGGCAGCATGAAGTTCCACTTCGTTATAAGCAGGGTGACATTAAGTTCCAGTAGTAAGTCATAAAGTATAAGTTAGTACACACATTTTCCCACAGTAAATGTCTCCATAAATCAGTTAGGAAAACACCACCAGCATTCAGACCTACACAAAGGACTGTACAAAAGAGAGTGCAGCAGGGATAAGGGAACTAATCAGACAAGCTCAGTAAGTGCACCAGGACTAGCCCTGGACACTGCAGGGCTATTTCCATCTCTGCTGCAGCTGGACTTTATGACACTGGCCCATTTCTGAGTCTCCACTCCATGATGAGGCAGAACCACTCTAGCTTACAGGCACGTGGAGATGACAGATGGCACGTGGTTACAGCCTGTGACAGCACAGCAAGATATAAGTTTAACAAGCAAAGAACAGAGGTCACGCCCCAACCATACTCTCTCTTGAGAATTCCTAAAAAAGTCCCACACCAAACACTCCCTATAAATTCACCAAACTAACTACAAGCTGTGTGTGAATCCATTCCTGACCTTAAAAAATTTCCACTCTTCAATGGGGGCTCCACCCCATAAAACAAGTAAAAAGGGAAGGGGAAAAAAAACAACCCCATGAGACCAATCTCAGTTGCTGGGAAGTTCTGAGGAGCATCTTCTGCTCTCA